ATTTATATTTTAATAATAAATTTCTGTATTTTCATTTCATTCATTAATATATTGCAGCTCTCGAATTGTAGAAATATTAAATTTTTTTCCACGTTATAAACAATCTTGTAACAACTTTTAAATATTTGGAGATCTATTTCGCTTCTTTGAAAATGCAAAAACATACAAATTGCACGTGATGTAAAGAATGAAACAAGTCTGTCTCTGCCTATGTTCCATTTCTTTAGCTAAAATTATAAACTGAAAGTCTAAATTTATATGTATAATACAAGTTCAAAAGAGTGTCAGGAAATGAGGAAAAGTGCTTCGAACGGACGAATCGAAGTGTATCATTGTACTTTCCGAATGTCAATGAAAGCACGATTCATTATGCAACAGCTGGAAAGTCACTTAACATTTAGCAAAATTGGTTTCACCCTAAATCGATCTCCGATAGGATCAGAACGAATTTCAACGTAAAATATTATATATTCACGATTGGCATTTTAGGCCTGCTAGAAATAAATTTCAGATTACTCGGTCGGAAGGCTAAGCATAGATTTAACGTGTACAACATTAAACTCTCTGGGGGATATTCTACGGGGCAAGTGGAACGTGTCGCGAAACCACAGAGGATTTCTCCCCGGCTTGTAGATATTCTCCTGGCATTTCACTTATCGAATCGCCTTTTAAATAACCTGTGCTTTTCGCGCTTCTGTAAATCTACTTCAGGAAATTGAATTTCAACCTTAAAATCGGCGTCGAATTTTTCGCTCCAAAATCCCCGCTTTCATTCAAGTATTTTTCTATATAGAATTTGAAAATTAACTCTCGATGTAGGCTACTATTTTTAGAAATTTTCCTCGCGCTGAATATTTCAATTTTTCGAGTTACTTTAGGTTTTTCTAGTGGTTTTTCATACGTAATCATAATCAAATGCGGATTCTTATACACTTGTGTCAAAATATGGAGAAAATAATGCGCTCAATACAGTCCTCGTTAGGAGACATTTCATTATAATTATATCTAAATCATATTTACATCGTACGCTATATTAAAAATATTAAATTTCCACAAATATGACGATGATCAAGTTAACCGAAGCCTTCAGTTTAACTTACATATTCCAAAGTTCTTTTTATAATTAAACCCCGGAAAGGAATTTTAACTGTTCTTAATTGGAACGCCAGCGAGAGAACAGGGGCGAAAGCTGGTAGCAAAAAATGGGTTTCTTCCGGCAATCTGAACCATCCTCGACCAAGACTTTTGAATGATCGCCGTCAGTGAAAGTTTAATTAAAGATCCATTAGCATCCATGACAACAGTGGTAATCGGTCTTTTTCTCGCGCGAAACTCCGCTCTTTCGATGTGAGTTTCTTTTTTTTTTTTCTTTTTAAAGGAGCACGACGAGGACACGAGGCTGGTCACGACACTCGTGGGATTTCCACGACAGCTGAGAGAAATGTAGTCAAACGTGGACGAAGGCATGCTCCGTGCTCGGTCTTTACAGCTGGTGGTAGTCTTTCAAGACTAGGGTCATCTATAACCCTGGCCATAGGTCGTCGATCGTTATCGACCTGTCAGTAGTGAATTTTTCAACGTACGGTGTCGGGTTGACTGACCGACTGTACAGATTGCGAGATTTCGCGTGCAGCTACACTCAACAGCTCATAAATATCCGTACATTTTGATCGATTCGTCGTGTGTTTTCGCCAAGCGTAAAAACTGGTGGCGAATTAATGAATTGGAGTAAGATGAGATCGCAGTTCATGTGCTACGATTATGCCTGATATTTTCCTCCTCCAGGTTTGTGTGAAACTGAAGTAAATACTATATTCGGCAAGATACTGCTGAAGTATCTTTGGTAATTTTTAAATATTTTATTTTAGCATTCAATTTTCAAAAATATATTTAAAAAAAAAAGAAACTTTGATAAGAAGAAATTGTAGTGAACAGCGTATTTTTTTTTTTTTTAATTATTTTATATAGTTTTGCATAAAAATTCGTAATTTATATATTGGATCATTAAAATATTGGATACATAATTTTATTTTATACTTTTTACACAGTACACAGTGATGAAATTAAACGAAGTTAAAAGTTTCAAAATTAAGTAATTCAATGATTTAATTTTATATAAAATCACACGAGACAAAAAACGAATAGGTTAATACACTATTCTACATCTCATATTGAATCTGTATATGAAAAACCAGATAGATTAAAATACAGTTATGCCAATAGAAGTAACAACAAATGCAAGAAATTGGAAAAGTTTACAGTAAAATAACTTTTATTTAAATATCTATCATTGAGATCTTTAAAAATTCGTCGTTGCTGTTGCGTTTTAACTTTACGTGAACAAATTGGTCATTTTGACCATTGCAGTAGTTCTATTATTAATTATACGTGTGCCATTGTATCTTCTATAGTAGTTCTATCATTTTATCTTGCAGTAGTTCTTTCATTAATTACACGTTTGAAACCATGGATCTCTATTATACGTCCATCTTCGAGTTAGGAAAGTCGATCTTTCTCTCTTGCATCCACTCGGAAAGGATAACATCGCTCCACTTCGCTCGAAAAAGTGTCATTCACTTTATCGAAGATAGTTGAACAGCGAAACCTACTAGCTGAGTTAGTGTCCGTGGAAAGAGGAGTTATACAAATAGTTCGCCACTTTACATAAATCACTTCATCGATTCTACGAAATTGCATTCTATTGTGCGCCACGTTTACGATTCATCTAACAATAAGTGTAGCCACTCTCGACTGGTCTCCTCGAGAGAGAAAGAGAGAGACCTTGCTCCTTGAGATTGCTTGGATTCTTTTCAATTTCGTCTCTACTTAATTCTGTCTTAATTCGTGGTTTAACGAAACTCGCCAACAAATTTCCACGTGTATTTCAATAATCGTTTTAGTTTTAGCATTGTTACGCAACAACCTTATGAAAGTCTCGGGACTATCGTGCTTCTATCGACTTCTCGAGTGCACTTCGGAACCACTCGAACTCGCGATTCGTTCGAAAATACCAAATAACAGCTGACTCGATGCACTCGAACCTGGTAAACATTTGGATTTTAGAGTGTGCCAGCTTTTTGAAAAGTTTCCCCTCTGTTTTCACTGTTGTCGCGGCATATCAGAAATTTTCGTGGGTAAAGTTTGATCGTTCTTGAAACAAAGAAGAGTTTGGAATATTTATTAAACCCCGTTCCTTGCAATATCGAGATACGATCTTTCTGTTCTTGTCAGAAATAAATCATATCGCAATCATTTACAAAAATTAAAATTGATCAGACCAGGATATACCTTTATTATGTTGTTTCAATTTTATAATTATATCCTATATTTTAACTTTATAATTCTATACAATGATTCTGTATATATAATTAAATGGACATATAATTATTATAACATTTTATATTCTGTGTTCCGTATAATAATAATTTATGATAATTTATAATATACATATAATTATTATATCCACTATATACTTATATCAGTATATATATACTAGTTATATTCAACTTTATTAAAAATTTATTTTTAGTTTTTAATTCAACACAGAATTAAACGTAAACTCCGGTTATTAAATCAAAAATTGAATATTCACTAAGAGTTAATTACAATACATATGAATTTAAATATGAATATGCATAAAATCGCGCGATCTAATTATTAGAGACGGAGAAACTAGGCTGACGATCCAATGCAATTCAACCTGGTTCGATTTCTTTCGTGCTTGGAAGTGACTGCGCTCATTTTCCACGAAACGAACGTGGAAAAAAGCTCTGGCGATGAAAAAGAGGGAAAAGAGGTATTGTCTTGCGTGGATGCCCGAACCACGTTGCATTGCAACACGATTCTCTGTGGTTGACAAAATGAAGGAAGAAGCTAGCCACCAGCTTTATAGAAATGTCTCTTTGTTGTCTCGACGAATTGGAATGTCTCCGATACCAACAGGATACGTTCGAGTTTCAATATAGAAAACTTTTGATTTCCTTGATGTTTCCCGATAGCGATATAAAAAGAGGGGGAGATTTATTGAAATTGAATTTAATTTATTTCTTTTTATTATCAGTTCAGAAATATCTATCGTAACTACATGTAAATAATAACTGCAGGTCAACTAAAATATCTATGATAAATACAACAGTAATCATTGATTTAATGTGATATGACTAATATATAATATAATATGATATGATATGATAAATAATCTAGAAATACATTTGTGGAATTAAAAGTAAAAATAAAAATTTCAAATATCGTGTCAATAATGATTTAAAAACATCAGTTTTCAACTATTTTGAGAGTTCATATGTTTCAAAGATTGAAGGATTTTTAACATACATTATCAAATAAAATTACAGACTCTTCTTATTTATAAACATCTTGTTATAGAATGTTTTTGATTTTCTTGATCATCCAGTAAAATCATTCTCTCTTTCGAAAATTAAAGAATTCTTCTGACATACATACATATTTATTCAGACAAAGTCATAGGTATGTCTCTTCTGATTTATAAAATATTCTTCTGCATAAAGGCTGCATAGTTTTTGAATATTTCTGGTCCAGTGAAATCAGAGCAAGTGAAGGAAAAACTCGAGGCGGTATTGGAGATCAGCCAGCTTCGCTCTTCTCTCTTTTTTTTTTTCCTCTCACTTTTCGTCCTTATTGTGCTTCCGTAGCCGATTTATGAAATGTTTAACGCAATTACCCCCTCGCCCGGGGCAGTCTTCTTCTGCAACCTTTATCGATTGTCTAAAAATAAGAAATAAGAAGACGCCCTTGGAATTTCCATATTTCGAAGGTGCCTCAGAAATAACAGTGAAATTGCTGGCCATTTTGTCTCGCGTTGCTATCCGTGGTCGTAAAAGAAGAAAACTCGATGGTACACAGTGAACTTTATCCTAATCCTTCGCCATTGATAACGTGAACCATTAACTAATTCTGGATCTTTTCTATATATATAACAATGTTTTTTTTTTTT